CATGGTGACATATTGCAAAAATTAAATAATCAAATTTGGTTGATAGATATTATAACATGCGTGTTCATTTACATAAGGTTAAATAATCTTTTTTTTCCAACACTGTTGTGTATCTTATAAAAACATTGTTACGTTATTAATCTACATTTTTTTTATCAACTTAATGTGGATACACGTGAATTCGAATATAGAGGTTGATAATATCAGATCACGTGGGGTTAAAGTCTCTAAAAGTTGAGTACATCTAACTAGATGTGAGCAATAGATCAAATGAAATGGTCCATGTGTTGGAAAACTCCCTAATATGTCTAAAGATTAAAATTCAAGAAAATTTCAAAAAATTCAAAGAAAAACCACCATATTCATCTAAATGCAAGTATATGTGATTCAAAAGATAAATCCCATGAATCCAAGAAACATGGACCCTAACTACGAATCCATTCATTATGGTTTATTAACCCATCCAACCATATGTGAGCCGTGGATCAAGAGAGGTGGTCCATGTATTGGAACGTACTTGAAGATCATATACAAATAAAAAAGAATTTAAAGAAATCAACGAGAAACCATCATATTCATCTAACACGAATATAACCAGAAAAATAAAGCTTATTGTTTCAAGATACAGTTATACAAGTCCATCCAAGAGCTTATACCACCCCAAACCATGCCTAAACCGGTCAGAAATCAGTTACTATATATATCGACAATCAAGCTGAGAGACATCAAACATGTCAAATAAGAAATTTTGTTTATATGGATCTTTGAAGACAAATTTTGACGACCATAAGAAGATACTCTAGACATCAAACATGTCAATTAAGAAATTTTGTTTATATGGATCTTTGAATACAACTTTTGACGACCATGAGAAGATACTCTAGAGATCAAATAGAGATTTTAGAGACGTATCAATAAAATTACATCTAGAAAATCACAAGAAATAAAGAACTATTTAACTTGATATGCAATTCAAAGAATATTCTACAAATAAAAATAATCATGGTTTTATGAGGAGTTACATCATACATGTCTCACCTTTTCCAAATTTGGCAAATCTCAATTTTTATTCAATGGCCATTTTTTACATTTTGTTAATATATGTGATTTTTTTTAAAGTCTTTATGAATGCTTGTAAAAGCACCGTATAAACGTATTTTTTTATGTGATAACACTAAAAAAAGATCAAATTCTCTCGTGTCCCTCAAAAACAAAGTTAATTAACAAATACCCTCATTATAAAAATTTTATTCTTTTTTTTTATTTGATTCAAAACTGAAGAAAATAACGAAATACCCATAAAAATCAGAATAATTACCCAACCACTGATTATCCATCCAAAACTTAACTAGATCTGACCCCGTCAGATCAGTTAACAAATTTAATTTTTTAACTTAATCAAATAATAATAAAAAAATCTTCTTCTTCTTCTTTAATTTTTTACTTAAATAATTTAAAAAAAAAAACAGAAATCTCTAACTTCTGATGTCGTTTTCATCTAGGTCGTCAACGATTTTTACGTCGATTTCCAGCAACACTATTACCGAGTTGGGCCTCACCATAAGAGAGTTTGTGGTTTCTTCTAGGTCGTCAATGATTTCTTTGTCGATTTCCAGCAATGTCGTTTTCGTCTAGGTCGTCAACGATTTCTACGTTGATTTCCAGCAACACTATTATAGAGTTGGGTCTCACCATAAGAGAATTCGTGGTTTCGTCTAGGTCGTCAACGATTTCTTCGTTGATTTCTAGAAACACTATTACGAAGTTGGGCCTCACCATAAGAGAATTCATGGTGGGATTTAGAAGTCTTATGGACTGCAACAAATTTATGAGATTCCACCTACTAGTTATAAATGTTTTATTCAAAAGAAACCGTCGAGTTAAATCTCAAACTTGTTCATGATTGACATAAAAAGACAGTATTGTCATCACCACCTCACGTGATGGCTTCAATCTCCATAAAATCGTTGATGCCATCCAACTCAGCGGTCCATTTTACTATGTGATGATCTAAATTTCCATTGCATTATCCAATTTGAATCGTTCTCTCGTTTCCTCAATTTGATTTCATGTCTTATACTAAATACTGCTTATAATATTATTTGAAAC